TATTAGTTAGTGACATTTTAGTTTTAGAAAAATCACTAATTTTCATAATTTTGGTATTACGTTAATTCGAAATTTAACTAGTACAATTTCCGTGAATACGATACTTGAACTCAAAATCTGTTTTTCTATTTGTTAACAATCCATGCACTTGCGATATTTCAAATGAAAATATTTCTCAACAAGTTTTTGACCCCATTGTTAGGGATTTTATTTGAGTTTCATTTCATTTACATTAACACTAATTCGAATACTTTTTTTATTTAATTTCACTCTATCAATTTATTTCAGTGCTCATGTTGAACTTTCAAGCCTTTTATGTGAAGTTTTGGAGACAATGAACTGATATCAGTTCATTCGGAAATCAAATGTATCTTTCATCGTAGACAAAGAAAAGCCAAAAAAAAAAAAAAAAGGTTGCACTCTTTCTTTCAAAATAAAAATTTATGTTTAATCGCAGTCAACCACGGTTTGCAAACCACAATGAGGTGGGGTTCACACGAATTACCTACTTGCTGCAGCTTTGAAAACCACGGTTCCCAATTTTAATTAGGTGAATTCTCTAACGCACATGTAAAACCTAAGAATGTTAGTAGACGAAATGATAAATGCAATAGAAAATTAAAGTTTGATATGAGAGATAATGTATTCGATCTATTGTCTATGCTTGCAATAACGGTCAACAGTTCAAAATGTTACATTCACTAATAGCCAGTGCGTTCAATAGATTCTTACGAAGCCCCTATTTGATAACCATTATTTAGAAAAATATATATATAATATTTTGAAAAGTGAATTTTTTGAGAATGTACAGTTAAAAGGTAAAAAAAATTGAATTTACGTACAAAGCCCCCGTTTGAGCCCCATTAAATGAAATTTCATTACATTAATTTTTTCTTTCTCTTCATTTCAACCATACATTCATCAAACAAAATAATACTACACACAAATCTAAAACATTTCAACCACACATTCTCCATCAATCACTATTCTAAAAAATTTCAACCCCCAAAAAATGTGGGCGAAACAGGGGCAAAATATGAATATGTCGTTAAAAATAAGTAAAAAAATAAAAAAGCACATCAAACTGTGGCTAAAAAAAGGTTCAAAGTGAAAGATACCAAATTTGACGTGTTATCTTTCAAATAATACTCTTCTTTATTTTTATTATTTTGAGTCGACTTTTTCCATTCATTTAGAGGATTGCTAGAATATATATATGTATATAAAGATTGAAATATGCGAATTGAAAAGTCTCCAATAAGTGCAACAATTCAAATACACAATATGCATAATGAAGAGTCGTGATCTTTAATAGTATGTGATCTAGATCATTAGATGATGACCCAATCTGAAATAGTGCAGTCTAATGATTAAAATTAATTTGTGGCAAAATGTGATCATTGAAAAAAGACACATTAAAATTTATAAATTGGACCATCATAATTCAATTTTGTTCACTCCAATTCAATTCAATTGATTTCTAATTCCTTTTACAAATTATTTCAAAATAATTTCCATATTGTTTTCAAGTTTCGCGTTCGATATTTTTTGTATTCGATATCATCCAATCTAGAAGAGTATAATAAAGCTTTGATTAGTGCAACAAAATTTTGGAATAAGCATTGTATTTTAAGGGACAATCATTCATTTGATCATGTTAACATATCCTCATCGTTTTGAAAAATTACAATTTTAAAAATTATATATATATGTATATGTTTGGTTTCCATTTTTTAAAATTCATTTTCAACCACACATTTCATATGATCCACAACTTTTACCAACATTTCAACTATATATTTAATCAACATTTATTAAAATTTACTAAAATTTTGATTTTAATCCAAACCAAACAAGCTACTATAATCAAGTATAAATTATAATTTTAAGAAATTACATACGTTGTAATCGGATTTGCAAGTTACAATTATTACAATTTATTAAATATAGTAACTTGCAAAGAATTACAAACATGTCAAAAAATCACATAACTTGACACCGCGATATTGGTATTGAATAATATTACTCTTTCACAAATTATAACCAAAATTAATATTTTTCGGTTAACACCAACAATTTATCCATATTTATGTAAAGGCTAAATAGCACAATACTCCCCAATCTCAATGCCAATATGTCGAAAACCTTTTACCTTTTGGAAATAGCACAAAACGTCATTGTTTCAAACGTTTAGTATGGATTACCCCTTCTACCGCCCATTTTTACAATAAAAAATTATAAAATAACGAATATACCCTCTCAATTAAATAAAACAAAAAGAAAAAAAGAAAAATAGAAAATTAATTATAATCACGATCCCAAAATTTTCAAAAAATTATAAATGAATCTCAAATAAAAAATTAAGAAATAAAAAATAGAACAAATTTTAATTCATTTCACCTTCTTCTTTCTATTCCCACCACCACCATCACCATCACGGTCGCCGCCATCACCCGCCATCCCAGGGTGATGGTCACCCACTATCCCAAGGCGATGGTGGGAAAATCAATTTCTAAAAAAAAAAAAAAAAATTATAATCTTGAAGATTAGAACATCCCAGGATGATCCAAGAATAGATCCCTAATATTCAAATAATTCCAAACCATTTTCTAAAATGACTAATCTTCTCTACCTCTACCATCTTCTCCACAATCAGGCTCAAGCATGCACAATCCCCACTACCCGCTTCTCCACTCCCAGCATTCCACTCTTACTCCTCTTCTTCTCCACCACCCCCTTTTTTTACGCATGAATTCATAATATGGGTTTAAAATTCGTCGTCAATTTCTTTTTCTTAGGCTTCTCTTTGATTTATGAGCTTTAATATAATTTGGAGCTTTTCTTTTTGGTGGGGAATCTGCGATCTTTAATTCTTTATTACTTTGAATTTGGACAAAAATTGATACTTTCTGTTTAATTGGCTAATCGCGTCAACAATACAGATTTGAAGAAACCCTAGCTTTATTATTTGTATAATAATTTCGAGACTGCTATTTGCATTCCAAATCGTCTTGTGGGCTCAATTAAATAAGATTTTTTTTTAATCGAGGTTTGTTGCAGGAATTGCTAGTGTTATTTATTTTAGAGAATTTGAGATAGAAGTGTTTGTAGTCGTTGTTTAGGGCACATGTCCTGAGCCTGAATCTGTTGATTGGTACAGTATTTTGGGATGTTTCTACATGAAAGTGGTCGCATTGGAGAGGCGAGGTGGCCGGTGGTGGTGCCATGTGGTATTGTGCGCAACCGTAGGTGTTTTGGCCTGGAATGATGTTGTTTGGCTCGGTGGTTGATTGGAGTGTGTTTGTGGGAGGAGACTGCCAGTGTGGATGGTGGTTTCCGAAGGCTTTGGTGACACCGCCTTGCAGACTATTTGTTTCTCAATATTTCTTTTCCTCTACTTGAACCCAATGAAATATAGAGCCCCTTCGACTTTGATGTTGGCTAAATGACTACAAATTCTTATCCCTGTGACCTTTCTCCCGAAAGAATAATAGGGACTAAGCTGTAATCCAAAACACAGAAGGCAGAAGCAATAATGAACGAAATGAAAGACAGAAATGCGCACACAGAAACAAAACAAAAAACTCATCATGATTCACTCTCAATGTAAGAGTTGTCCATTCACCACTACTTTGATGGAGGACGAGAATTACAAGGTTATATCACACCTTTCTGAAAAGACAGCCTCTCGGATTTCTATATATAATGTAGAAAACTTTGGTGTCTTAATACAGCTATATGAATGCCTAATATACAAACTATGTTGTTCTGCTGTTGGGAGGATATGTGAACATTATGATTAGGCTTCGTAAACCAGGGCTCCTCGATTGTAATAATTGTGAAGAAATAAGCATGCCTTGTGTGTTTACATAATTGCTTCAGGTTTTACTCCCAGCTGTGAAGGACATGGGCAGCCTGCTTTATCCAAGTCACATGGCACGACATTGCGGGAAGAAGATTGAGAAATCTTTGCAAGAGGCAGAAGATAGAATGCACGAGGCCATGGCAGAAGAGGGTGGAGGCTTACCTAGCTTCATTGCCACCTTTTATGCATCAAAATTTGCAGTCAATATGCAATTGGTGCCTCGCACAACATTTATCTACAAAATGCTAAATTATCACCCCAATTACGTAGCACAAAATTACCTCCTCTGCTGCCTCCTAAGCCAACCGACCCTGATTCTACTTAGAAAGACCATTCATAGGGATCATATACTTGTAGATGACATTGCACAATGGTACCCTATCGGAAGACCTATGTGTCACGTTGTAATGGTATTGCCACATATGTTTTTTTCTCCGATCTCGAGTTTTCTTTTTTCTATATACATATATTATATAGTAATTTATACGATATTGCCTCTGTTGATGCAACCGGATTTGCTCATTTTTGTAGCTATTCCTTTACCTGTTCCCCTATTTTTTCCCATTAATGTGCTATCCATAAAATCCTTACCTGTGAAATGCTTTATTGAGGATTGTATTTTGTTGTGCATTAGCACCAGATTTTACAATTTTTGTGGAAGTAAAAAGGTTTTTTAAAAACTGATCCCCATAGCAGCAACAAAAATCTTCCGTTCTATCGGTATTTGGTTAATTTTCCATGACATAATTATCTGTAATTAAATAAAATGGCTTAGCGTATAAACTTTGCAATTTCTCATCAAATCATATAAACTAAGAAGATTTGAACTCTTTAAAATATTCTAAGAATTTGAAATTCTACTGAATTTGAATCATCTCTATTAGTTATAGTACAATTCAAAGTCATTCCAGAACAAAACAACATTAAAAACTTGGACAAGAGTAAAAACAAGAGTAGCTATTTCATAAACAAAAACTTGATAACTCTGAAATAAAATTTGAATACATGATTATTATCTGTACTTCAAAATACAAATTTAAACACATCTAATTCAAAATTTTCCTATGCTAATCAGTACTAGATCATGCCCCTTTCAGACACAGACAGCATCTGGGGGTCTCGTGCATATTGTCTTCTAAACCTCGGAGACGATACTTGGGCTACACCCGCTGCTACTGCTTGCAGCATCCTGATCGATGGCCTTTCTTGTTGCTTTCTTGAAATTCAAAGCCAAATGGAATTGGGAATTTTGGCGATATCCCCACAGTTGAATCCAATCACTTTCCTCCAACTTGTTTGCTTCCACCAGTTTACTCCAATCTTTTTTAAGCACAACCATTTTCAGGGTACCCCACCTCCTCATGTGCAACACATAGTATTTACCTTTCGGATCAATCGTAAGAATTTCAACACTGCCTTGGTTAACTTCTACTAATTGTCGCTCCATTTGTGTCAAGAATTCCATCACTTTTTCTCTGTTATGAGAAAGAAAAATCCGATTCTGATCAGGCTTAGTATCAGAACTTGTGAGCCTTTTTTGGTACAAGAAAATTGGCACCGTCCCTCCATTCAATCCTAGTTCTCGCAAGATTTCGAGAAGAAGTGGTTCTGGACGAGGCTCCGGCTCAATCTGCACTTGGCTACGAATACTCGTAATTTTTCCGTTGCCCTTCCGCTTTCTATTTTTCTGAAGAGTTACGGCAGATTGGGGCATTGTTTGGCCTGAATAAGGAACAATTTCTAGAATTGGTTCAGGGTTAATATCATGAAAGGTTCTTTTAAGATTTGGGTTTGAGTAAAGCTTTTGGTGGTGGGTTTGAGGCGGCACTGATGGTGGTGGTGGTTGATCATGAAGAAGAAGATCATCAAAGAGGCTAAGTGAAACTACCTTCTTCTTCTTCATTGGAAACACGTTAGGAATAGGAAGAGGAAGATGAAGATCTTCATCATCGAACAGATTAAAAGAAACACTCTGCTTCTTCATCATCATCGTAGAGAATCTCTCTTTCACTATCTTGTTTGCAGTAAATTTTTTTCTGCGTAGAACTGATTGGGGTAAGTTCAGTCTTATATAGATGTGTCGGAAGAGGAACTCAGAAAACCTGAAACTCGTTATGGAAATATTTTTCGATCAAAACAAGGAAATATTTTTCATGTTACATTGTTACCATATGTTCTCTCTCTAACGGTAAAATTGGAAATAATTAATGCTAAATTGTCCATCAGAATATTACCTATTTCCTAATGCCATCACCCGCCCGAATTTCTTTTGAATTATCGCCCAATGTTAATACCCAGTGAATTTGTAAAATTAAAAAATTTCATTGGACAAAACTTATTGATTAACTAGCTAGTGATCCTGGAAGTAGACTTTTAGTTGATTTTAATAAAAATTGATGAAATGTACAATAAAAAGTTGAGAAAAATTATGAAACTTGCGATTAAAAAAGAATTTGGAAAAAATAAGGGCCAAACAGAGGCTAAATATTAATGCGGCATAACATTGTCTGACCTTGTTAGAATTGCACACATCTACAATAATGGAGAAACGTTTTATTAATAATTTTATTTCTATATTATTCCACTTTTGTCGATAATAATACCCTTGATCTTTTGATGGGATCACCATGATTAAGTATATTTAACACAAAAAACATGATGATCGCAAAAATATGAAATATTGGAAATGTAGATATGTTGATTTATTAAAATGACATTGATCTAATAATCAAGACATAAAATTATTTACCCTCAAACGCTTCGGTCGAAATATATAGAGCCAACAACATATAATACCCTTCTTCATAATACAGTCGAGTGCTGTCTAACAATCCCTACCAAATATGTCATAAAGTATAAAAGAAAAAATCCGTCTTCACTGCTTTGTCTACTCAAACTCCTTTCCTCCGACGAGCTTTCAGAGAGTGCCTGACAGCCGCCTTAAGGAAATAACACACCACCAAATTGAAATATTTTACAGAAGGATATTTCTTTTCAAATTATTCCAAGCCTTCATTATAAGTAATCATCTTAGGTTAAATTTAAAAGTTTCTTCTGCTATCTGACCTCAGCTCCTGGTTGTCACTTTTGTCAGTGTCCGAGTTCTCTCGTTGGGATTCCATATCCGTGCTACCTGCTCGACTTCTTCTGTGCCTTCGATCCTAGAGGATTGAAGTACAAAAACACCCAAAATTCATTCATTTGTTTGTGGCTATCATGAGAAAGTTTTGGCACGAAATATTTCTAGTGGAGTGAAATGGGATATCATATGAGCAAAAAGAGGTGAAATATTAAACCGTATAAGAAAACAAAATGTCTTAATGTAGTGACACCAAAACACAGGCATAGATGCGCACACGAATAAACAGAAATGTATTGCACAATCAAGCAAAGTTCATTTCTCAATAAGAAAAAACACGCATAGTTGTAACTTGGGGTCTTCTGGCAAACATGGGACAGACTACGAATAGCTTAAATGTAATTTGGCCTACCAAGGTAACAGAAGCAGGCAGGATTACCAAGTTTAGACGGATTACAGGTTCCTTACATTAGGTACAAGAAATAAAGTATCGCTATGTACATCAGTGATGATGGCATTCTAATTTATCGAAATTATTTTAGGATGCATTGTAAGGGAGGTAGTACCTCCGATTTTCGATGTTCAGCTTTACTTATGCTCATTTGCAAGGTCCGAGGTAAGGCCCCACGTCCCCCTCAGCGTACATACATTTTTATTTATAGACTTGGTATGGATATTGCTGACCACCACCACCACCACCACCAATGGGCAATTAGGTGGGGGCATAAAAACCGCACCTAAGCATTTTATGGCGTTCTGACCAAGGAAAAGCACTCATAGTCGGTGCATTAGTGTAGGAGATAATACTTTTCTTTTAAAATTCCACATAAATTAGTTCTGACAGCCTTGTTAAGTTTCAAGAACTACAGAAAACAGAACAATTTGTAGGCGGATTATGGACTTGTAAGTTATTTATTCCCCTAATATTTAATTCCTAAACTTTATGTAAGAAAAAGATTGGAATACCACAAACAAAAAGTTACAAAACACCAATGCTCACCACCGTTCCTAGCCATCTTAATTTAGGATCTGCTCTCTGAACAGTGACACATTTATGCAGTCAAAAACTGTAATCCGTCCCTCTACATACTTCGGAATCCCTCCTCTATTTCATACTTTACAAGGTGTGTCAGCTGAGGCAATGATTAAGAGATGTTAAGCTTGGCTCTCGGTAATGCTCAGATTATGGCCAATCTTCCTAGCCGAATGTGGCCAGGCTTAGAGTGCTTAGTGGGAGAGAGGATGAGGAAATTGAAAGTTTAGGTTGACAGTTGACCCCAAAACTTCAGTTCATAGTGATTCTAACTACTTTTACCTTACATGTGCTAGAGGAATAATTTGGAGTAGATAAAACCTTTCTCTAAAAGGTTAATTATTGAAGATGTTTAAGCTGGCTTTTGCATTTCCTGTTAAAGACTACATGGGTGGCAATCACATGGTTAAGACAAGACACAGTTAGAATGTCAACTAGCAGATCAACACAGACCTTGAATAGACATGTCTAGTATGGTCAAACTAGTCTTATTATAATATATTTAAAGTAAAGGTGAAATGTCATAAAAAAATGAGAGGTGTGAAAGTGTAGTGTCACCAGTCAAAATTAACCCAAGACTCACCTGAAAATTCGTAGAAGAGTTTGACTATATTAAAACACATCTTCCTGATTGGATAGATCATATTATGTAAATCTACAAATCTTATGAAAATGAATTAATTGCTAGAACAAGAAGTAGTATAACGTATACGAGTATTGAGATAAGCGTATCAATGTGTATTAATGCCTTAAGTGAAAGACTTAGTATAGAAACAATAGGATTAAGGGAAAATACTGAGAGAGTATAAATTAATTATTCTATCCAAAAAAAAAACCTAGAAATTTTACAAATCTCTTAAAACCCAAACTAGACACTGTAGATAGTTCTGACAATGTCAAGCACTCTTACATCTTCAATTCACAATCTTAATTTTTTTTCAAAGAATATACGATTACCAACAAATCACATAAGACGTCCTTTATTGTATTCAGTGAATGGCCTTAGATGACATGATCTTAGGTGGCACAAACTGGGATGTTATTATTTCATTATCAATTTTTCATCCCACGTGAGGTTCTATGCTATTTCATTTTACTTTTCAAATTCCTATAAATATTGAAGTTTGAAAAAATAATCTCGTGCAGGAAAACAATTTTGCGCAGTAGGAAATGATCTCACACTGACCTCTCTTGATATTGGATATTCTTCTGATTCAAGCATCCGGACAACTTGGCTCATCCTGGGTCTCTTGTCAGAATCTGGATCAACACAACGTAAAGCAGTCAAGAGGGCTTTCTTGAGGGCTCTAGTTGATGGCCTTGTGTCAATATTTGGATCTACCACCTCCTCAGAGCGCCTACTTCCAACCATCATTTTCAACCAATCAACTAGATTTACCTGTGTCAAAAATTCCACATTAGAATAAAATAGAAGAGTAGATGCATCGATGAAACATATGTGCAGATTTGAAGCACTTCAACCAAAGATGCTTCGAAAGGAAAGGTTCAGGTGTAACCATCATGAGAAACAAATGGAGCAGACTAACTTACTAGCATAGCATAAAAACCAAAAAAAAACAGAACAGAACAAATTTCACGGCTTCTACAAATTTCTGGAGTACAACTGTGTCATATCTTTATCAAATAACAGAAAGGAGGCACAAATATATAATGAAGATAAATTAATGCAAAAGTATAATTGTATTTGGAGAATATCAAGTGCTAAGCAAAATCCTACCAGTTCTGGCAGTGAAAATTCATGTGATACTGTAACGTCTCCATCTATCTTTTAATATTGAGTGGTACCTCAAGTCACGGGGAATTAGTTAATGTTCACTTATTTTTTTCATATTGCCAAATCATATCTAACATTTCCAATATAAGAAGTACACTTGATACCACAATTAAATAAAATAGCGCCATAAACGAGAATCTATAATGGATGTTGAATGTCAAGTTCCTAAAATATGATGTTATGCAACAGTAAAATATTTCAAATTTACCTTCATGTTTTTAAGTCAAGAGAGGTGAGAAAGGGTTGGAACCTTTCTTCTTTACTGGAATATTCAATGAAGTGATCGAGCCAAGAGACAAGTTTTATATGAGAAAGGCACCGACAGTTTACAGTGAACCCATATATTATTTCACATATTCACAGCCTGTTTGATGTAGATTTTTTCAGAATAGATTTATTGAAAAATGAATTTTTTGGAGAATGTATGTCTAAAAAGTATGGAAAATTTATGGTCCATGTGCAAATTTATTTTATCGGGAGAATGTGATGCTGAAAATGAATTTTGAAAAATGTGTACAAAACAGGGGCTCAGAAACAATATCACGATTATTGACACAGAGAAGTGTCAATTTTATTTTATTTTTTAATAAAAGTCTTCACGCAGAAACTAGTGCTTCTTTATCTCAAATTCAACATCATCAGATTAAGCTAAAGACTAAAATCATCGATGATAAAAAGTGGCCGAGGAAGTGACCTATGTATTTCAAAAACATTGTATAATTTGTCCAGATGTATTAAATTCATTATACAAATGGTTGTCATAATCTTCATAATTTTTTTTATGATGAATATACAAGAGAAGATCCAACAAAGCTGTAGACACTGAATTATGTGGGTAACATTTAATACCTCTTGAGCAGCTCGACCATAGTCAACGGGATCTCTTCCCGTGATTGCCTCTAACAGCAAAACCCCAAAGCTATAAACATCACTCTTTTCATTTAAAAAGCCGGTATTTGCATATTCAGGAGCCACGTATCTGTATGTTATTTGAAGCAAAATGATTGAAAATGAAATATGGTTCTGGAAAGTTCAATATTAAATGCAACTTGATCCACTCATGAAGCTCTTATGATGAAAAAGAAAATGCAATGAAAAACTGAATTTGGGTCATGATCAAAATGTTCAGCATTCAACAGCTAAAAAACAATAACCGTGGATGACTTAAGAAACACTGTAAAGAACACAAGGGAAACGAAAAAAAAAAAAAGAACTAACCCGAAAGTACCCATGACACGAGTTGTGATGTGACTTTTCCCAGCACCAAGCAGCTTAGCCAGACCAAAATCGGAGACCTTCGCATTGAAGTCTTCATCAATCAGTATATTGCTGGACTTTATGTCCCGATGTACCACTTTTGGTTCGATTGCCTCATGCAAGTAGGCAAGACTGCAAGAAGAGTATATACTTAGATCTATAATTTTGGGAAAAAATCACAAAAGAAATTTAGAAAAATAAAACAGCGGAGCCAACATACGCCTTAGCCGTGCCAATGAGGACCTTCATTCTGGCCTCCCAAGTAAGAAATCCGTGATGGCGCATAGCTCCATGAAGCCATTGTTCTAAATTGCCGTTGTTGACATACTCATAGACCAGCATCCTGAAATATCAAAAAAAAAGTTCAATAAGGATTGTTTTGAATGTTATGCATAAAGGTAACCGATTTCAATAGCAGTAAACATGCTAAATTTATATATTAAGAGCCTACAATTAAATTTTCATTTTAGACCACAGGAATATAACATAACCACGTCTTGTGCTATGGCAGGAACAAGTGATCAGAGAGCCATAAATGTGATGACATTCAATAAATGTATTAAATTTGAAAGGCAAATTACAAGTACAAAATGGTAACCAGATTTTGATGGACAGTACCTATGAGTTCCTTCAATACAGTATCCCAGAAGTCGAACCAAATTTTTGTGACGCACGTGGCCAATAGCATCAACCTCAACTCTAAATTCTTTTTCTGCTTGACCTCTGGTTGAAAAGAAAAATGTGATATGTATTAACTTCACAGAACTGACAAGAAAATCATCCCATAAAAATTTCCATCAAATATAAAAAAAAACAAAATTCAAATTCCAAAACTTACAAGTTGTTGAGGAGCTTTTTGACAGCAACTGGAGTCCCATTAATTAACTGCCCATGGTAAACAACGCCGTACCCGCCCTCTCCAATAACATTCTCCTTTGAAAATCTGTTGGTTGCAAGCTCAAGATCTCTTAGCGTAAACCAATGGCCCCAACCCAAGTGAGAAAACTCTGGCAGACCAGTTAACGGCGAAGGAGCAGTTATTGGATGAGAAGAAGAAGGTTTATAAAGTGCGGATGTTCCAGAACTTCCTTCTTCTCCTGATTGCATATCATAATGATCTCTATCGACGTGACGACATGAACCAGATCGACTGCTGTTGTCTCCATTCTTTACTTTCGGCATTTCCATATGGACCAAAACCTTGTCCGATTCCTTGTCACTGGATTTATCATGAATGGCCAGAAGAATCCCATCACGTTGAACAAATTCATTAGTTGATACTTGTTCTACCCGTACCTCTTTAATTTCTTTTGAAACAGTTGGTATTTGGCTAAGGGGGAGCTTGTCTAGAGATCTTCTCGATTTCTTTTGTGAAGTAAGATAATAGGTTAATGCAAAAAGGATAGCCACAATCACCAACCCAACAATGATTCCAACAACTTCCCAGACCTTTAGACCAAAAAGGCGAGTATTCTTCGAGAGTTCCTCATTCAGATCAGAACCCATCTCTCAGGATCCCGAAAACTCTGCAGTGTTAGTAACACATTTGATCATTGGAATTGATACTGTATTCTAAACCTATTTCACAATCCTGGTTTCATTAAGCAATAAACAAACTCTTAGGAAAAACTCATAATACAGATAATAGTTGTTTTCTTATAATTAGAAATAACTGCAAAGGAGAATCATAATACGGAGACAAATCTAATGTCCGACAATAATTCAATCAAATAGGGGCGGACTGGAAAGATCAAATGAACAAAAAGCATAGACCAGGACAGCAAAATTGATGAACTTGAACATTCTGAAAAGTCAAAATAATTGCAGAAAAAACAAGTAAAAAATCTTGCAGGAGGTCAATAGCATGGATAGCAACAGTATAACCAAGACAAGAACATTCCGAGCTCATCAACGATTAGTTAAATTATGCAATTCAAAATTAGATACATTAATATTTCTTCTTGCACATCATGTTAGCACAGAAAATTAAAAGGAGACCTTAATTGAAATGCATTCTGTAAACAAGTTTTTAAAAAAAACAAATAAATGCAAGTGTGCTTAAACTTGTTACCTTTTTCAGAAAAGAATTCAGAACAGTAGCCTTCAAATTCCAGATCTTGAAAATCCCATCTACCATATAATTTTCATCAAGGCCTCAAGAACAGATCTCTGAACTAGACACCCAAACAGTCCCTATCAAAATCCCCACATTCGAGAAATCCCAAGAATCAAAACATCTTTTTTCCCCTCAAAATCACCCCTCAATTTGGTAGCCCGATTGAAATTCCTTTCTGGGAATTCACTGCAATACCAAATGCCAGTGGTTTCTGCCACCAGAACTCATTAAAGAGTCTTAACCAGATGACAACAATGAAAGGGCTGTCTTTGTGGTACAGGTACATAGAATGCTATACGGGGATAATAGTTAATTAGAGATATAAAGCTTTGATAATTAGTGTATTCGGTGGTTTCTGGTAAGGAACATGAATATCAAAATATAAACATATAGAGAGAAGGGTGGAGTTATCAGTGGTAGGTACTGAGAAAATGCCTAACCATCAACACAGCAATAAAGGGAGGACATTGAGAAAGATGGGAGGTACCCTTCTACAGTTGGCACTTCAGTTTTTTACTTTTTATTTTTTATTTTTGTTGAAGATGACTGATTCTAGAACACTTCACCACATTAACTCAAGCAAATGCATATTGACTGTAAATCTTTTCTGTTTTTCGGGGATTAATTTATTGAATTATATATTCAAAGTATAATTACATGTGATGTATGTAATATAGATACACTACACGTCCCCACCATTGAAAGTTGGAGAACATTTTGTCTTGCTTCTTGGCAGAATATTACATACACTACACGTCCCCACCATTGAAAGTTGGAGAACATTTTATCTTGCTTCTTGGCAGAAAAGAACCAAAAAAAAAAAACTAAACCCTTTCCCGACACTTTCTTATCAGGTAGCTTAGGCCAGTCAATTACTTGTTTTTCTTTTCACTGCTATAATTTCGTACTCAGACCTTGTTAGGTCTATCATTCGAAAATTTACAAGAGAATTTTCACGTGTAAATATTGAGATTTTTTATACAAGCTGTAATAAAGTTAATGTCTCGTTTTTTGTTTTGTTCATGTACATGGGTATAAAAAAACACGTCAATTAGTATGTCAAAATGGATTATGGTTAGAGATGTACAAAACTCTCGAATCAAATGGCTCCTCTTAAATTAAATATTCAAACAGGTATTAGAATTGAGAATCGATGGATTTAATTTAGTTGGGTTCTCGATTCTAGGCCAAGAACCAAAAAATCGAAGCTCTCTATTTTTTATTTTTTTCATTAAATAAGATAAATTATTTTAATTTTTGTCTAAATAAATTTGTAAACTTATTAATTGAGCCTAAAAACATGATTTCCTGATAATTTGTCAACTAATTAATTGAGATCAAAATATTATTTTTCTATTTTCAGCCCAAACTAAACTTTGTAGTCACATTTTAAAGAATTAAAATTGAGTAATCTAACTTTTTCTCAATCATTCTGCAGTTTCTTCAATAATCGAAGTTGAGTGGTCGTGCCTATCATCATCTTACTTTCTTTTTCTGCCCTATTTATTAAATTTCCTCTAATTTGATCAAAGTAAGTTTCAACTCATTCATTTCTAATAATTTTCACGCTCAATGTATAAATATAATAATTTATAATTAGTTTTCAAGATATTTATTGTGAGCTCGAGCATTTGTGTATTTTCCTTCCTTAATGTATCATTTATTTTAACCTTTTTTTACTGAATATTTTCACCTTTCTTTTGGCATGTCTTCCGTATTGAACACGTCATTAGTTATATTAATGTTGTGTTGTTGTAAATGTTAGAAAAATTAATTATGCTAAAGTTCCAAAAATTCTTATTCGATTCGGTTATCTTTAGAACCAAGCAGAACTGGACTATGTACAGCTCTAATTATGACAATCAATAAATAACTCATCGGTCCATGTGATTTCAAATTATTCGTTTGTCATGCAATTTAGAAAATACTTCAGATAAGTGGTTAATATCGATTAAATTTACATGCTTCCTATTTGATTATACCTAAGTTGAATATTTAATTTTAAATTGATGGAAAATTAGTTGGATGCATTTTCCTTACAAAAAATTCAAGATTCTAAGGGTATGCTTTTCTCTTAAATTTATTAAAATTAGGTCCATAATATTCAGTGGGAGATAAAGTTAATGGAAATTATATCTTCTGTAAGTTGTCATACCATGAATGACTAATTAGCTGTTTAATGATAGTGATTGATTGCCCATTTTTACAGTGATGTGTGTATGTACTTATTATGTATATATTTTACCCAAGGGTGGCAAAAAGGTCCAGAAACTTGTCGGCTCGGTTTCGTCAAAACTCGGTTTATGAACGACTCGAGCTCGTTTCGAGACGTGCTGGGACGGGGCTTTGTCCGGCGTGCCGAGCAAGGCTCGTAAAAAATGTGAAGAAAAAAAGTGAAAAATGTGAAGAAAAAAAAGCTCATGGGTCGAATGGGCTCGACTCGTGAGGCTCGGCTCGTGAGGCTACTCGACCCTTGAGCACGAGCCGAGCTCTAGCTAGTGCTCAAGCAAGCTGAAGCTCGGCTCACCACTTAGCTCATCAAAGTGACTAGCCGAGCTTATGGGTAGATAGGACGAATCGGCCGGATCAGCCCATTGCCACCACTAATTTTACCGGAATTAACTAATGGATTACAATAAGACTCATAAATTTCTTCAACGAATATTAGAAGGATGCAACAGCACTGAGATATAACTACGTAATGTAATACAATTAATACCTCCTAATAAATATTACATGATACCAAATATAATATTTGAGTTTAATATTGCGTGTTAGAGGCAATTAACAAACATGTTGAGCAATCCTCCTCGAGCAACAAAAAGGTTGCTTAGTCTCTTTTAATAATTGTCATTGGGACCTAAACACCTTCATATGCAAGATTGTCTTGAAATTATAAATAATCGGTCAAAAGTTGTCACTGAAAATGGAAAACTGTTTTTAAATTTATTTGAATAAATTTTTTAAAAGTATTTTATCCAATTAGAAGAATTTCTTATGTAATTTTTAAGGATCCATTTGGCAAGTCTTTTGAAAAGTCAAAAATTGCTTTTCAATTTGTTTGAATAATTTATTCAAAATATTTTGTTTGATTAAATGAATTTTTAGAGAAAGTTAACTTAAATAACTTCATCCCGAAGAGAAAGCCCTGTCAAACTGGCCTAAGATAAATGAGAGAAAACAACCACAATTTTTCCCTCTCCATAGCTTTTTTGGAGGTTCTAATTGAGCCTCATTTTTTTTTTTTCAAAATTCATTTTCAACGAGATATTTTTCAATAAAAATAATATTATGAAAACGTTTTCTTATTTTTCAACCACACATTTCAAAAATGCATTTTTCTCTCAAAATGAGGCTTAGACAAGGGCATAATATTTGTTCATTAAGTATATTGTAATAGGTTCGTTTATAATAAGGTTAAAAATTAGATTAATGTTATTTAGTACAACTGGTATTTAACATCAGTCTAAATGATAACATTATTGTCATTAAATTAAATTTTCAATTTAATATAAGGAATTATAACTCATAGTAGAATCTATGATATGTTGACACCTAAATTAGTATTTAACACTACTGATGTTAGATCGTATTATTTTAAAAACGACAGGGAAGATGATAAGATAAGTGAGCTTCGATAGTTCCAAAGGAGTTGGTACTCTATGTTATTGGGCAAATCATAATAGTTTTGTTGTTTAGCATAATCCTCGACAATAATTACTCATCACGTCTATGTGTAGAAGTTTGTAAACAGTATTATTATACGTTATAATAGACAAGATCAAAGACATTCACAATACAATATTAAATAATATAATAAACAATTACATTTTACCGTTTCTTTTAATATTACCGTGTCCATGTAAGCACACGGCATTGACTAATTGTATTTTGTGACTGAAAATGGATGTCAATGTCCGAATAATAATTCAGCCATGTGTCATGTACTCTTGTTACATAATGATTGAAGTAGACAGCAAGGGATTTTTTAATAATTGATTTCAAACTATGGTCTCGCTCCTTCGTATTGATCCAAGTTTTAGCCGAGCTGGGCTGTAAAGAGATTTCAGTTAAAATCCAGAGGAAATTACAGATTTGAAGATTGGAATTCAAAAATCACGGATCAAGTTTCATTATTCAAAAATCAGGTAATATATAAAACCCGCCCACTAAGTGATGAAGCCGCTGTAGTAGCTGGGCTGTAAAGAGATTTCAGTTAAAAAAATTTGCATAACTTCTAGTTATAAATTAAACTAGCAATCAGTGAGCTTTGCTCAAGAATTATAAGCAAATTGGTTCTTCACATAAGTATCTACATAATTTAAACAACGATCAAAGTTCAAAAACTAGTACACAGCACAATCCCGAAAACATTACAGTCGAATAAGTTTGTCATTCCATATACATCATCAGTAGAAACTCAACCTTGATTGGTCCCTCTAATTGCACATCTTTAGTAAACCAACGGTTGCATTTTCGTCAGTAGATGAAGGGAAACATTTAGTGTTTAGGTCTCAAGTCCCATCATGTTGTAATTCACTGTAATTCACTTTGCAAACGAAAAAGATCAAACCCTGATATGAATCCTCCATTTAAAGCCATGTTATAATCTGCACATAAATATAGTGGTTTTATCAGGTTTTGATTGCTGTTGTGATCATCTACTTTTTCTCCAATCAGGTTTTGATTGCTCTGTCCCTCGTGCTTAGTTGCTGTGATCTTTCTGTCTTAATTCCTGTTCGCAACATCTTGACAAAAGTGACAAATTTATCACATAAAAGCTCAACTCCTTCAGACTCGACCACATTCTACATCCACCTTATTGCCCAAAACTCCGGCTCCAAGTCATCAAACACATTTTTCTTGATGATATATACAAAATATGAACCTCCTGATTTTCTTCATAATAACTGACAAGCTTGAATATTCATATCATGATTTTGGAAAACAACTATTATAAAAATAGTTTTCCAAAAAGTTTAATCCATCAATATGCTCAATAGAAGCTCCACATAACGAATTAAGCACAGCAACTACAATTCTCCAAATTGCTTCTCTTTAATAATTTCAATCACCGAACAGCCACATAAAGCAATGTCCAAGGAATTTCAATTATCAGTTATATAGCCAGCTTACCACATAACATATATGCACATCTTCCTGTAAAGGTGATCTATGTATGCCATTACAGCCAATTTAAAACTCTACAGATTCAGCAGTTTTTCTAACCCAATCAATCTCTTGCCCAGCCGCACTTCATGGATTTCCAAGAAAAAGAGAAGTACAAAAACAAAATTACCACTAAATATTATCCCAAGCTAAATACTCCACCATCCTCAATGTCAACAGAGCTATTTACTCTGCTGCCAATTATTCGAAGGGAAGGACAGGCCATGCCAATTATAACCAGTGCTCAATTTTAAGCCAATTTGAATAGCATGCAGCAAATCGGCAACTATCTACAGGCCTGTTTCCATTCCCATACCTAGTTCTTTGGGAGCTTATTTAGCAGTTGCCACCCCTGAATTAGGGCTGGACTCTGTAAGATTAAACATTAATTGCTTGCCATCCACACTGAGAATTATATATAATCCACCTTTTCACGTTTATTACCATGTGCAAAATCTGTAGAACTTCACCCAAAGCAAGCTCTTTTAAGCACATCTTTTTCATTACTGTAGCTGCCTCGTACCTACAGATTAGACGAGGATTGAAGAACATGAGATGGATTAACTATAAAATAACTTATCCATGAAGTAGAAATAAATTACAGACTATCAAAATAACAGATAAGCAAAATGTAACTTGATGCGAACTGCAAGATTGTAATTTACCTGCACTGAGTTCTCAGTATTGCAGATCGTCCATCAGCAGATGACAGAAATTTCTGAATTTTGTACCATGTCACCTTTGGGTGCTGCTTTGCTTTGCCAGCCGCGTCCACGCATTGCCATAGTTTCTCATCCTTTTTAATATACAACTGCAAAGAACCTAACTTCTGCTGTACTACCATCTGCTGCTCAACGGCACTCATTAGAGCCTTCTTAACATCAATATTACGATGTCGAGGATCTCCATATCTAATGCAATCAGCAATGTTTTCCTCTGTGGGTACAATCTTCTCATTCTTAAGGGTGTTCAGAGCAAGCAGAATGACCCCAGTAAGGCCTTGAATATAGTCAGAAGGTTTTGGACATCCTGGTGTCCCCCATAGACCATTACCAGACATATTAGTAGTTTCCATCCCAAAAGATGGTGGCGGAATTTCTTGACTGCCACGTGGGTACCTGTTGATCTGCGCCTCTTGAAAAAATGGAGGGTTCTTTTGAGCATTATATCCTTTGTGGGGACTGTTCGAGTTTACGCGGTTGGCAGACTCAATAGAAGTTGGTCTTCTCTCTCCTCCATTCCATGGTTGCGAAGGAGGAGGATTGCGATCATTTCTGGGGCATTCAGAAATGTTTAAATTACCAATATCGGGTGCATATGTTGGAGGACCTGATGTAAAGCTGGCTGCATCAGGTCTGTGGGGCGCTAAATGAGGCAGTACGTGCTGATTAGTTGATGGGAAACTAATTGGTGGATGAGGACAGTGGTTTTGATAAGAACCAGGCGGGTGACTCCTGTGACTCGAAAAATAAGGACTACCAGATGTAAAATTAGGAGTGGATCCTGGTCCATTTTCAGGAACTTTTAGATTATTAGTACCAGAAAAATCCTGGGAATCATTGAACTGCATTGGGTGCCTATAGGTCGGTTGACGGAAGTTGGCCTTGTTATGATCTTCTTCAATTCCTATTGCACTTGAAGTTCTTGATATATTAGGTCGACTCGTGTTTTTACGATTTTGCTTTCCTTTATGTTTTACATCATTCCCTCTTCCCATATTCGAGAATTTTTGATTTCCCAATTGGTGACTACCATGAGAAGAATCATCGGGCTGGTTTGCATGAACAGAATTAATAACTGGAACTTGTAATGAGTCAGAGCCAGATAAATGACCGTAACCATTATTTAGAGTCTGTGCAGAATCAACATTTGTAAGTGGTGGCCCCCCAGCCGATAGACTTGTCCAGAGCCATACACTCTTTGCAGCAGCAAGAAGCGATGCTGACGCTTTTTGGGGTTGTGCCAGAAGAATGTTATATCGACGCATGCGTAACTGGTGGAGAGCATTTGAGAAATCTCGGTCTCCAGAAATTAACAAATAATTAGCAGGTGCAGGATTGTCGACTGCCCAAAATAACATATCCACCAAAATCTTCTTGTCGCTAGCATCTTTTACACCTAACCATGATAAATTCAATAATCTAATTAAAACAACTTATGAACGCGTGAAGAAATTCATAAGAAAAATAGCAGTAAAAAGATCTATTAAAGTTATTAATTTGAGATGAAAGCACCGACGTGTATCATCCATGAATGGTCTTCACTGAAAATATTCAATCATACATAAAAAAATTTGGAGGCATACTCACAAGACACGGGATTGCACCAAGACATGAACCTACTACCAAAGATCTAGTATCTGGCCCACAAAACTCTTCAAGATTCAATATTTGACACTTGAAGATCAACAAAATTGACAAACCCAAACTAAAAATTCCTGAGACTAAAACTCAACCGGTAGAATAAACTAATTACCACTCAAAAACTAAAATTAACCTCCCCGAAATCATCGTTCCACCCCTCCATCTCAAATCGCTCGAATTCCACTGGATCTCCTCTCCACAAAATTCATCAAAAAAAATCATAAACATTAAAAACATCGATGTATACATAAATTAAACGTCATTAATTAAACTTATACACAGACATATATAGATAGGTACCTGCAGGGACGTGATTGAGGGCGACGCCGGTACTATTAAGCGCCTGCTGCACGGCGGTGGATATCTTGGTGGTATCACCATACGCTGATATAGAAAGAGACCCGCAGTAGTTTATCTTAACAAGAGCTGAGCTTATATTCTGCGCAATCGCGTGTGGATCGCAATTCTGCGGCACCTGACAGTTCTCGATGTCCCACCACACCGAAACCTTGGCCTTCACATACTGCTCCTCTGCCGCCTCCGCCTGCTGCGACTGCACTCCGCCTCCGCCCATATTCTTCGATTAGATTAAACTGAAACCGAGTTATTTTGTGTGATTGTATTGATTTCTTTACAGTGTAGTATGAGCGTGGACTGGGCTAGACGTTTTATTGACGGAGAAAAAGCGCACGATAGCATTGGAGAACACGGTCTTCAACGGTGCGTAGCGTAACGATTGGAAAGACTGTACTTGTAATGAGCGTTGGGTGGTTTCTGTTTTTAAAACAAAAACTCTTTAAACTGCTGTTTATTTAAAAATATATTTCAAATAGTAATTTTTTGAAAAATATATAATTTAAAATAGAAAATATTTGAACTTGCGTTCAAAAAATTTTATTGTATGAATATGATTAAAAATGAGTATCAGAAATAAATTGTTGTGTTTTAAAGGGAGTTAAACAAGGTTAATTCTCATACTCATTTTCAATCACATGTAACTTCTGCTTTTCTTTACTTTTAACCACACGTTCTCTAAAAAAAAAATATTCAAAATATCATTTTCCTCCAATTTTTCTTTATAATGGCCATCAAACAAGGTAAATAAGCGAATAAGAAATTATTAAAAATTTGAAAATAAAAAAAGTTACCAATTTTAAACGAGTATTAATTATAAGATCCAAATTTAGCCCCTCTTTGATAATTTTTATTGGTATGGATTCATTGACCATATAGGAGGACTTAGTAAATTTTATTATTGATTTAATTATGGTTTACTATTGAGGGCGAATAAAGCAATAAAGTGGATGAGATCGTTATTTGAAAACTCTTCAATCAAATATTTTATATGTAAATTCAAAAATTTTTCATACTTTCTAATCATACAAATCACAATTTAAAATATTATTTTAGTCCAATAATAGCTATAATATAGACTTAGTTGTACTATCTCCGATTTAAGAATATTTTTATTTTTATTTTGGGAATTGTTATTTGTATCGAGGTTGACACATTGATATACATTCCCTCACAATAAAAGGGCCCACAACCAATAAAAAAATTATGAGCCCCTATTATGGGTTGGGTTGGGTTGGGTTGGGTTGGGGTGGGGTGGACCCTTTTATTTTCTTGTGAAGAAAGAAAGGTAATTACTTTTGAAACGGACAAACGAGTTAAAGAAAGGTATTTAACTGTGAGTTGAATTGGCCAATAGGCTTCGTTCTTGACATGGGAAATCGCAGATGATAATGGACACAAGAACACGACAAAAGGCTTTAACTAATTTTAAGGTTTAATTAGTTGTTTAATGTTTAGGTTAGAAAAAAGCCTAAAATAAATACTTTATCACGTGTTTTATTTTTTGTAAGTTTAACTTTATATTCCACATGTTTAAATTAGAAATTCGATAATTTGATACCAAAAATAAAAAATAAAAAAATAGAAGGCCTTGCATGATCGAGTACATTATTAAGATAATATGATCCATTAATTTATTTATATATGTTTCGTCATTGTGAAATTCTTTTACAATCTCTTAACAAAGTCATTATATAAAAGTTTCTTTAAATATGCATTACGAGTAATAATTAGAACTAAACAACGAGATTCTCAAATCACAAAATTGAATTGAAATCGTTTTCTAAAAATCATTTGTTTAGATCCATGTGGAACTATGACCTGTTTAACCATTCTCTAGATCATTTTCAATTCAATCTAGGAATTGCTATCTTGGTAACAAAGAAATTGAAAGACTTCCAACTATGTCTAACATTAAAGTCTAAATTGATCTTCAATATATAGTATGAGGGCCTGTATGTTATCTCTATTTCCCTAGATTAACATCAAGATTATAGCCGTTGGTCTGAAATGTGGGACCCACGCCAGAGAGAAATGGTCAAAAAATGTGGGCAATAACGGGCAAAAAATCACAGTTTTGGTAACAATAATCTGGGCCAGACATGCTCTGAATATCTATCTAGTGTCATTTATTCTCAGGGGGGTTGTATAACCCCCCCCCCCCGGTACAAATAGCAGTTCTCTTACTTTTTTATCTACCAAATTATCATAACAAAGCCCTTATCAGCTTGTATTACCGTCGATTTTTCCTTATGTGACATGATTTTCTTGGAATCTAAATTACATTGGAGATGCTCTTATAATCATTTAGCTTTATTAGAATGTTCATTCCAACTTTTCTAAAAATATTATTCAATCAAACTAGAAGGTACAGTTGATCAACTCGACGAGCTTGCGGATTTGGACAAATTGGCCAACTATATAAAAAGTATTCAAAAGCACATTTTCATATCCAAAAAAATATAAATTATTCATTCAAAACTTAATACATAAAGCTTTTGGGAGGACATTATTTGATATGAAAAATTTTATTATAGATAGATGAGGTATCAAGAAGATAGTGGATATTTTTTAATTTTTAATTTTTTTGATTTGAGAAATTATGACCTAATCATATCTTATCACACGTGTATGTAAATTAATCCGTAAGTGGTGATACAACCGTTTTGATACGGAAATATTAAAGCTTTTGGGTTGTCCATGGGCTTCAAGAAAATGGACCAAATTCAAATTCTCCAGACTTACCAGGCTGTCAGCCCATTTTCCCTGAATGCCTCGTGAATGTCAATTTGATAATCCTTGACTTTTCGTTTCGAAAGTATCCACAAATAGGTTCGAATCTTGTCATTTTGCCTAACCCGAAGCTCGGAACCGAACTACCATTCAAACTCAAATCCGAACCTCTGATTTCGCCGTCAGGAAGAATAGCTTTATTATCGCACTATTGACTCCCACTTAAACCTCCGAATCTCAGTCTTCTACTCTTTCTATCTCCATTTTCTGCCGTCAGATGATTTGACAAATATAAATCCAGAAGTTGGATTTGAATTTATTCTTGTTTGCATTGTCTCTTCGTCTTTCTCCCACCCAACTCTTGAATAATTACGGGTTTTTTCTCGATTTGAACCTGAGTTGGATCGAATTGTTGCTAAAGCTTGATGTATTTCGTGTTTTTGTACTGAGAATCCCTGGAGGTGGATTCAGCAAGTGTGTTCCTCTCTTTCCCTCCATCTATATACACACACAACTATTATGTCTATATGCATCCGTGTGCATTGTATGGAGTATTTTTTAGTGTCTGGAATCAGTTTGAACTGTGTTGTCAACTTTGTTGAGGTTTAGTAGTGGTATAATATAATATTCCATATAAACACGAGGAATATTTTGCTGGCAAATAATGATATTACCGTCAATAATTTGGGTAGAATTACGATTTGAAGAAATGAACGATATAAAATGTTAATGATCGAGGTAAAAGTTCGACTCTTTTTTCATAAGACGATAACGCCCCGTACTGGTGCGATGGTATTCCGACATTCATCTCCCATGATATAATGACCTCGACATGTAATGGTAGCACTCCGAATTACAAGACCGGCGAACCTACTCATGTTTGTCATCTATCTAACATTAGAGGACTAAAAAACACGAAAATAATTTTCGAGACCGAATTGCAAAACATGGAATAATGCATGGATGAAGTAATATAATTTGGAAGATGAATAAATTCAAAATTGATTTTGCAATGAATAAAATTCGAGGTATTGGGACATTTATATAGAAGTTGAAAAATTGTGTCCAAAACACAACAATCGAAAAATTGTGTCTTCAATAGACACAATCCATTTGGACATGTAGTTTAGCTGTCAACCTCCATTTTCTATAAGAAACCACGTGTCACGCACAAAAAATTCGGGGGAAAATAAATAATATATATAAATATATTATTATTTTAAATAATAATATAATTCAAATATTATTTTACCAAAAAATATATATTAACTTGGATTAAGCCTAAGTCAAGCCCACGACCCTGTGACCTATTCCGGCCTGTCGAAGGGATCCGTGGGCTTCCCCTTCAAAAACTATCGATACACATGGGCCCAAACTCAAGTTCCAAATTTGAGCAATATAAAGTGGTTTCTATTCTTCTAGTTTTCCTATGTGGAATTGACATTTTTCAATTTTTCACCAATTTTTATTCCCAATTTATTTCAACTTCAAGTGGTCATCTTTTGGTCTTAATTTNTTTATTTCAACCTCAAGTGATCATCTTTTGGTGTTAATTTCTCATTCACCCTAAATTGATTTTGAGAAAATAAATACATTACATTAATTTACTCATGGAGTATAACACACTTAACCAAAGAAATCTTTTGTCAAACTAACGGGACCCACTAAAATAATTGGTCAAACCAACTAATTAAAACCAATTTTTCTCAACAATCCTTCACATGAATGGAAATTAATGCAATAGACTATGCAGATCCTATAGAGAGATTAAGCGGAATGTTATCACATCCAAATAGATACCTTATGGGTTTGAACCTTCCGTAGTATAAAACTATAGGATTTACTTGGCTAATTAGTGAACGCAGTGTCTTGAACTGTTAGCCGTTGGTGTAAATCAAGACAATAGTATCAACACAATAACCACGCTAATATTTTCGAGTTCTCAGTGTTGTGTTCATTTTGGCTCTGAACAACCCTTGAATTTCATATGTGCTTTAGAGAATTCAAGTCTTTGAAACATTCTCATAGAAACGGCCACACTTCACACTTGTATAGGTGGTCTCCTATTAAGAGTACCTGTCATACACCACTTAGATAGTCCAAGATATAGGTGTTGACCTATGGTTGATTTCGAGTTGTAATTATAACAAACAAAGTATTCTTATCTCTAACATTTATGTTTGAGTCTTCATTGATACATGTTGTAAACCTGGTGGAAATCGAGCATTCACAATCAAGCTTGGAATCAAGCACTCACGTCAAAACAATCGAAAACAAATCAAGTATTTACACCAAATTCAAAATCGAGCAACAAAACGTGCACTCACGCCAAATTAATCGAAGACATTAGACTTAGATGATTTGAATTCATATGTACAGGTAAAACGCTTTAATTTTTAGCAATGAATCACTTCAAGCTCGTAAGTTAAATTTTTATACATAACCAATGACACTTATTTTGAAAAAGTGAAAATATCCCTAAAGATC